GGTTTCAGTTGAAAGTACTAGAGGCACTGAGAATGAATCCAAGGTTTTTGGTCTGAACAAGTGAAACGATGGAAGTCTGACAGAAACCTGTAGTCTTCCTCATAAATTTGGGAAAGACTACCAATAAAATGGGTACATGCTGGGAAAGAGGGGAGATCAAGAATTTGAACATTAAAATTTTTAGAAGTCTATCATATACTGGCCTGGCCACGAAAGGGGCAGTTGGATCTACAGGACTGAAGTTCAAGGAGTGGGGGTGGGGGTGGGGCGGGGGGAATGGGGCTAGAGATATAAATAAGGATTTGTCAGCATATGCAGGAAACTGATCAAGATCACCAAACAAAGCGTAAACAAAAGACAAGCAAGGTCTGCCCCCAGGGATCTTCTAATGTTAAAGGGTTAAGGAGAAGATGACCCAGAAAAGGAGACTGTAAGTGAAAGAAGAAAACAGTATGAGACACATTGGGAGCCAAGTGAAAAAGGACATCAAGTACTCCTTAGCCATCTGTCAACCTCACCAACTGTGATTCTTCCATGATTCTAATTATTATTTCATTACAATGCATAATTCCTTTCACTCCACTTTTATTTACTTCCATTTATTCTTTTTCTCTTCTCATGCTCTACTGCCTTCCTAAGAGTAGTTTCATGCCCATATTTTGAAATACGGGTCACACAAAAACCAAAGGTTACACACTCAAAATATATGTGAATCTACCCCAAATCCCTGCTCCTATTTTTATTTCAACAAAATAACCATATTTAATTAAAATAACCTACTTGAAGAAAGCAATTAACAGGTTCACCATGATGATATATTGCACAAAGAGGTAGACAGCTTGGAGAAACGGAGTAAGAAAAGAACCAGGAGGGCAGGACGACTTGTTTGAACAAACTACAAAAAAAAAAAAAATAGCATTTAAAAGAAGGAGATAAGATGAATCAGAGCCCTATGATTCTAAGTAAATATTTAGCACATTAACTTAGCAGAATACCATACATTTTTTATATTTTTTAAGATTCAGGTGATTACTTTCCAGATTTTTATTTCACTCTGAGAATCTACAAAAGTTCAATTCTGCGGCTGATGAACTCTGCCACGCACCATCTATTTCTGATGCGTAGACTTCTCCGTACATCATCCAGTATGGTTCAAACACAATGTCCCGTGCGAGGCTCCAAGACGGGGGCTCCTTGGGCGACAGGATGGCCTTGCGTGCCACTCCGAAGCTCAGCAGGACTATGGCCATTATGATCACAATGTAGAACATGTTTGCTGTCTGGAAGATAGTACCGCACAAGAATTTTACCACAGATTTGAAATTTATAGTAAAACAAATAAAACACTAGCAACCATCATGATTATACCTGCCAATAATAGGACTGTCTAGTCATTGACCAAAATGCCCTAATCCACACACAGCTAGCTTTCCTTTGGCTAAACCACTTTGTTTTTCCTGCACAGTTATGTGTTTCATGTCAACATGGTCTATGGAATAGCATAAATTTGCTAGTGGTAGAGAATCATGCTTCTTTTCTTAAGAAGTAATGAAATATGAACAGCTTGTGATTAGCGAATATCCAACTTTTCACCAACTGGGCCAGAAGTTAGAAAAACAAAAACATAGGGATACTCAAATTAGTAAAATATCTTTTTTTTTATTTCTACATTTCTCCAAGGATATTTGTTAAATACAGGTGTGGGCAAAAGTAGGTTTATAGGCATTCATATAGAAAATAATACAATAATTAACAAATAATAATACAAGAATAAATTCTGTCTATCATGTACACATAACTGTAAACCCACTTTTGCCCCATCCTCTATGAGTTGTGGTTATAAGAAAACAGTGTTGAAATGATCTTATTTTCTGTGCCTCTGTAAGTAATTTCAAAACTTATACTACTGAATATGAACCATGAGAGCAGGCAAAAGCACTGAAAAGAGCACCAGAAGACACAAGCGGGCAGTACTCACCATTTTTGCAATCATGGTCACATAGGGACCTGCATGTTGGTTCACAGCAAAGAAGTCCAGGAGTCGTGAGAACCAGAATATGATGTCAATGCAGTAGATGAGCCTTCCCGCTGTGTGCAGAGGAGGGTCCCCCCACCGCAGGCCGAAACCAACCAAAAACAGGCCAGTAGCCACAGTTTCCATGAGGTTCCAGTACTCACTAATCCATACCTTTACCTTTTGAGTAAACTTTTCAGGTTCTGAACTACAGACCTAAAAGGAGAACAAACAGGGGAAACTTAGTGCATGGTATAATTCAAGACTCTCATCGATATCATCTTCTTTAATGTATCAACTGCTTCTTTTAGACAGTAATTTAAATCCTGCCAAGAAACAGATCACAAGGGGATTTTTAGAGACTTAAGCTAACCTTGGGTAATTATTTAAAGAACTAGAGGCCCAGTGCACAAAAATTTGTGCACTTGCGGCGGGGGAGGGGTGTCCCTCAGCCGGGCCTGTGCCCATTCACAGTCCAGGACCCCTTGGGGGATGTCCACCTGTTGACTTAGGCCCACTCCCCGGGGGAACAGGCCTAAGCTTGCAGTCAGACATCCTTCTGGCAGCCACAAAGCTCTATGCAACTCTGCAATACTCACAGTCTGATCATAATACTCCAGCCAAGTTGTGGCTCAAGTTCAACTTTCAGTTATAACTTTATTTTTGTCATCATTTTTTCTTACTTT